ATACAATGAGTGAAAGAAACAAAAAATCACTATTAAAACATGACAGTGAAAATTATTCTGGGAAGACCCACCAAAGCTGTTAAAATTAGAGAGCAAAAGTTTAAGAAATAGGATATTCATATATTCTCAAATTATCTCCCCCAATAGATTTATTAATTACAAGGTGAAAAATAGTAACATTACAGTGGAGAAACCCAGCAGATGCCATCATATTGAACTAATCAAGATTAACATCACCAGGTTTAAGACATAGCAACATCATGTACTCTTTGATATGATGCACTGAGAAGGGTACATTGCTTCTGTGGGATTCTTGTCAAAAATGCATAACTTCAATCTAATCGTGAGATAACATCAGACAACCCCAAATTGAGAGACATCCTATAAAATAACTGACTAGTACTCTTTGAAAGTGTCAAAGTCATGAAAATAAAAGGAAAAATTTTTTAAACTGTCAGAGATTGGAAGAAGCTAAGCAGAAATGAAATGTAATGTGGGATGCTGGGCTGAATCCTGGGACAGAGAAAGGACATTAAAGAAAAGACTGTAATTTAGGTAATAGCATTGTACCAATGTTAATTTCTTAGTTTTGATGGTTATAGTATGAGTTGTATAAGATGTTAACATTAAAAGAAACTGAAGAATATATGTACTATTTCTTCAACTTCTCTATACATCTAAAATTACTGCAAAATGAAATTTTTTATAAAACTTCCCAAAAAGAAACTCCAGGTTCAGATAGACTCACTGACAATTTTCATCAAACACGTAAGAAATAATACCAATGCTATACAAACTCTTTCAGAAAATTGAGTACTAGGGATTTCTACATTTATTATAAAACTACAATAATCAAGAGTGTTGGTATTGGTGAAAAATGGAAATACAGATCGAAATAGTTCCACATATATATAGTAAATAAATTAATTTTTAACAAAAAGTTTCAACAAAGTTGCTATTGGAAAAGAAAGTATTTTCAACAAATAGGGTTGAATTAACTGGATATCTTTATGGGGAAAATATAACATCAACCCTCGTCTTGTATAATACACAAAACATTAATAATTCAAAATCAATTCCAGACCTAAACATAAATCCTAAAACTATAAAATTTATGTAAGGAAACACAAGAGAAAGTCTTTTGCTGGGAGCAGGCAAAGATTTCTTATAAAGAACACAAACAGCATGTAACTTCTAAAAATCGATAAATTGGACATCATCAAAATCTAAAACTTGCTCTACAGAAGACACAATCAAGAAAAAGAAAAGGCAAACTTAAAGAAAATATTTGCAATACATGTATCTACCAAAGGACTTATATTCAGAATATATAAAGAATCCTAACTACTGAATAATAAGACAAACTACCCAATTTTAAAATGGGCAACAGAATTGAACAGATATTTTACACAGGAAGATATAAAAATTGCCAATAGACACATGCAAAGATGCTCAGCATCATTAGTTGCTACACAGGCAGGAATCACCAAAATTAAAAAGACTCATTATTCCAAGTGTTGGCCAGGATGTGGAACAGCTGGAACTCGCACACACTGCTGGTGGGAATGTAAAATGGGACAGCTGCTTAGGAAAACTGTTCAGCAGTTTCTTAAAAAGTTAAACATAAGCTACCATACAACCCAATCATTCCACTCATAGGTATTTTCTGAGAAAAAACAAAAAACATATACCCACACAAAGATTTGTACATGAAGCTTAATTTGTACATAACAGCTTTATTTGTAATAGCTATAATAACCCAAATGTCTATCATCCAGTGAACAGAGACACAGACTGTGGGATAGCTGTACAAAGGAATACTATTCAGCAATAAAAAGAAACAAACTTCAATATGCAATGACATGATGAATCTCAAGCTCATTATGCTAACATGAAAGACACCAGACCAAAAAAAGTACACACTATATTATTCCATTCATATAAAATTCTGTAACATGGAAAGTAATTTATCACAGAAAGCAGATGATTGGTGGCCTGGGAATGAGGGTGGAGAGTGTTGAGCTGCCAAAGGACACAAGGCATCTTCCAGGGACGATAGAAATGCTCACTACCATGATCATTTCAGGGGCATAGACATATGTCCAAACACATTCAAATGATAGACTTGAAGTATGTGCAATTTATTGTACTTTAATTATTCAATAAAGTTATGCCCCCAAAAAAGAAACTGAAGTGAAAAATGTTTAAAAAGAAAAACTAAAACTTCCTCTACCTACACTCCTGACTCACATTATAGTTGATGTCCTTTGGGAGAGGGCCAGCCACAGAAAAATAGAAGGCTTTTAAGTTTGCCGAAATAAACATTTCCACAGAAAAATATCAATCTCTACTGAAAAGAGCCCTGACAGTTGTCACTGGATTATTATAGCTACGATTTAACGATTATGTTAACGTATCACGAGGTGTTAGATATCAAAATTGTTAAGCAGAGATTCCTTGAGATCTGAAAATTATTTCAGGGGTTCCTTCAGGGTAAAGGTTGAGAAGACCTACTTCAGACTATGTTGGAAATGTTTTAATTAAGGTCTGGCCCGTGGCTCACTTGGGAGAGTGTGGTGCTAATAACACCAAGGCCGCGGGTTCGGATCCCTACATAGAGATGGCCGGTTGGCTCACTTGGAAGAGTGTGGTGCTGACAACACCAAGTCAAGGGTGAAGATCCCCTTACCGGTTATCTTTTAAGGAAAAAAAAAAAAAAAGAAATTTTTTAATTAATTAAATTTTCAATTTAAAAATTTAATTTAATTTTAATTAATTAATTTTTTTAAGTTAGGGTTACACTGTGCCTGCTGGTAATGTTTTTTCTTGCCCTGGGCTGTTGATATATGATTGTCCTCTTGGTGATGATCCATTGAGAAGTACATTACCTTTTATGCACTTGTGTGTGTGTACGTGTGTGTGACATGTAATTTTAAAAGTTTAAAATAAAAAATCGTGTCATGGGTCAATTAAGAAAAATAAATTAAAAGGTAAAAAAAAGAAAGAAATAGAGGGTAGAATAGCAGTTACGGGAGGCAGGGAAAGGGAGCAGGGAAGAGGGGGCTGGGGAAAGGTTGGTAGACTGGTACAAAGTTACAAAGTCACAGTTAGATAGCAAGAACAAGTTCTGGTGCCCTGGGGTGAAAAGAGCTAATAATATTGTATTGTATACTTCAAGATAGTCAGAAAAGACAATCTTGAATGCTATAATCACAAAGAAATGATAAATGTTGAGGTGACAGATAGGCTGACTATTCTGATTGGATCATTATATAATATATGCATGTATCCCACAAACATGCACAATGAGAAAAATTAATTAAAAAATAAAATAAGGGCCGGCCCGTGGCTCACTCGGTAGAGTGCGGTGCTGATAACACCAAGGCCACAGGTTCGGATCCCATATAGGGATGGCCAGTTAGCTCAGTTGGCTAGAGCATGGTGCTGATAACACCAAGGCCACAGGTTCGGATCCCATATAGGGATGGCCAGTTAGCTCAGTTGGCTAGAGCATGGTGCTGATAACACCAAGATACAGGGTTTGATCTCTGCACTGGCCAGCCACAAAAAATAAAAATAAAAGACATATTATATATATACATATTTAGACACACATATATTTTATACACACACACATATATATATTTGTTAAATTATGTCTGTTGTAAGAAATTGTTTACTCACCTAAAAGTAATGTAGCTTCACTATCTATGATCTCATTTTTAATCTGTAACTTCGCTGAAACTTAAGGAAAATGACTTCGTGTGTTAGAAAACATGAAGATCATGTGTCTTGGTTTTCTCTCTGCAAGCCTGTTTGTAATAAACCTGAAGCTCTAAAAGATTCATTTCCAGAAAGCAACAGGATTTGAGGTTTTCTCTGCCAGGAACTGAGGAGGAAAAGTGTCAGCTTGAATGTATGCCTGGCAAAACGAACTGGAAGGAGGTTCCAGACCCCCAAGGAAAAGGGGGTGTGGCCCCAATGAGGGGGTGTGGCCTCTAAGGAGAAGGGCGTGGCCTCCAAAGAGAAGGAGGTGCCTACAAGAGTTTGACTTCCAGGTCTCTGCATACCCTTACTTGAAATCCTTCAGTGGCTGTTTCCTAAAGGTCAAGTCTAATCTCCTGGCATGAAACAGGCTCTTTCCACCACTTCCCACCCCCACTACACCACCCGCCAGACTGAGTTACTGCTTTATTTCTGCCTCTTTTGCCTCTCTCTTGCCTCTTTGCAAATTCTCCTGAATTCCAGCGTTAAACTCTACACCCACTTCTCAACTATTTATTTCCAATTCTTCCTTCAAGATTCAGACCAAGCATCGCCTCCTGCGGAATTAAATAGAGTCAGGGGCAAGAAGAAACTGTTCATGTTGTAAAGGAAACACTTGGGGTTTATGTATTGTTAGTTTCCTTTTTAAAATCTCCACAGATTATCATATTAAGAAATAAAACTTTCAGTCTGAACAGATAGACCTTGCTGGGTTTCCCCACTCAGTCTATCAGCATTAGATCATACTTTCTTCTCTAATTGCATTTCTATACAACTGTGCCTGCTCCATAAAACCTAAGCATAAATATGCACAATTTTCCCTATCTTGGGGTCTTCATTCTGAAGGCTCTTGTGTCACATAAAACTATGATATAATAAAATTCATTATGCCTTTTCTTCATATCTAAAAAAAAGAAAACTTCCAAGTTTATTTTTCCAAAATTTTCACCAGATACAGAAGTTGGATTTTATTGAATCTCTTGTTGTACTTAAGATAATAATGAAATTTTTAGCATTCTTCCAGTTAACTATATTAATTTGGAGATTCCCGACCAGTGAGTTGCAAGAGGGTTACAGATATAGATCCCTCGGGCTGAAGCCCCAAGGCCAAAATAATATCTCCAGCCAGAAGCAGCTTCTTCAGTTTAACCAGTTTACTTCCATTCATTGTTTTCTAAATGAGCCATAAAATGAAAATCTTGAGAGTCAAAAAATCTTGAGAATCCCTGTGTTTGCTTTGTGGGGTGTCTGGCTTCAGGACATGTGCTAAATCCTATCCAGTTAGAAAGAGAAAAGAAATTATTTTTTTGATGCTCTATATTCCTTTGCCAATATTTTATTTAAATAGTTCAGTCTTAGTTCTTTTCTATAATTAGTCTAAAATATCTTTTTGTTGTTGTCAAACTCAATTTAGACTCAAAACCACATTTGGTTCATTAAAGTGTGGAGTAATATTGCATTATCACCCTATTCTATTCTTGAAATAATCGATGCAAATGTGGCTATTGTTTGCCCTGTGGGAGATCTGAATGACGAGGGAAGAGAGCAAGGGAGGAAAATAGAAAAGGAGACAGGAAGGAATGGAGCAAGGCCCCATGTTTTCAGCACATCTACAACAACATGTGTTCACTGGGGGCACAGACAACAAAAAAGCGCCTCTTTAGGGAGTTGGGACATGGGAAGAGGGTGGGATTTGGGGGGGCAGGGCTGAAACCATGAAGGAATGGGGTTGTGGCTTGGGTGGAGGAGCTGAAACATGCAAAGACTGGACGGTCATATGGCCACACTGTTTTCCACCAGGCTGGGCCGCAGGTACTCGTAGGGTATGTCCAGCTTGGCATTCCGGGTCTCAATTTCCTTATCCAGGGCAGCCAGCTCCTCCCTGAACTTCCTCAGTACAGACTCAGGCCCAGGGCCTGAAAAATACTCCTCCTCATGCTGGCCCAAAGCCACCTGGAATGGAGAAAAGGGAGGAACTAAGAGCCTTATGACCCCAGTTTGGCATGCCACACCTCCCCAAAGCTGCCTCCTTCCGCAGGAACCCAGGCACCTGGCTCTCACCATAATGACCTGGCGTCTGCCCAGCTGCCAAATGATGGACATCTGTAGAGAAGCCTGATGAAAGTTGGGCAGTGTTGCCATCACTGTCTCCAGCGTTGCATCCTTGGTGGTCGGCGGGGGCAGCCGCATTGTGCAGGGTGCATTAGGGACCCAAGTGAACCAGTCCAGCTAAGGAGGGGCAGGGATCCAGAGTCCATGTATGCTAAGCATGAAATCCCTTTAGCCCACCTGCACACAACCCCCTCTCCCACTCCAGGCCACAAATTCCCAGCTGCCTGCCTCTGGTAAATACCTGGCCTAGGTGGGTGGAGGAGTGTTGACCAGTGCAGGTGAAGACGCACATGGTGACAAAGTGACAAACCTGGTTCCGAGAGTGTAAAGAGTCAGGAAACCCTACAAGAGGTGAGGAAAGTTACAGCTGAGGCCAGGAGTAGAAGCAGAGCTCAGAGAGACAAGGCAGAGATGCATGAGAAGGGGTGCCAGGAACTAGCAGCAACTCTTGTGAGAATTAACATGAGAGTGGGGTGGGCTGGGGAAACAGGGAGCTCTGCTAGGAGAGTCACTCAGTGGGGTGCTGGTGCAGCTCATACGGGCTCATAAGAGTCAATGATGTTAACTTTTCAGCTGTTGAGCAAGCTGGCTGACATCACATTGGTAGCCACAATGGGAATATTTACACCATGGAAATGGGCAAATGCTACAAATCAGGGCTTTTTTTCCAGAGAGCTGGTTGTTAAACATTTATGAGCAATCACTGGTCCCACTGCATCTGGAACCTGGTGGGAATTTCAGTGTATAAGATGGGACCTGCCTCTAGCTGAGAGAAAATAGAATCTGGGAAGGCCTTTAGGAGTTGTCATAGGGGTTGGAAATGCTTCTGGAAGATTCCATAGAAGTAGAGAGGATTCGAACAAATCTCTTGTGTTTTGTGTCTGAGATCTCAGAGCAGGAGCTCCTCTTACCTCGATCCTGGGCCCCTAGCAGCCCAATTTCAGTGATCTCTCGACACCAGTTCTGCAGCTCAAGGTCATCTGTTACATCTACGTCTGTCTTATAGTGTAGATTCACAATTCCCTCCACATACCTGCAGCCAAGGGGTCAAGGCAAGAGAGGTCCTGACCTCCACCTTCACCCCCACCCCACTAGCCCTGCCTTCCCATTTGCCTCACCGAGAGATGATTTCCCAGAGCTGCAGTGCATCTTGGGCATAGAAGGAAGACTTGACTCCCAGGAGCCCCCGGTCAGCCAAATCATCAGGGGGACAGAATGAGCTGTAGGTTAGAAAGGCTCCAGCTTGCTTGAGCAGCTCCACATGGCCTCCCCCACCTGTGCTCACCACCTGAGAAGCAAGGACAGCAGGGTCAGGCAAATCAAGCTTCCCTGAGGCCAGAGCTGGAAGGGAGAGTGAACCTGCAAATCCCCCTTTGTCTCTCCATACCTGGTCGAAAACTCCCATGTCAGAGACCAGCCCAGTCCTGGCCCGGACATTAATTTCCATAGTGTATCGCAGGTGGGGGATTATAAGCTAGAGGGAGAAAAGCAGGGAAGGGCAAAGTCAGAAGAGAGGTGTAGCAAGGCCCTGTGAGAAACGGGTTGAAAGCAGGAGAGGCATCAGGTCTTCAGGAAAAGCATAGACTTGAAGTTCGGTGGCTTCTCAACACCAAGTTTTCAGTTGATTTGCATCACCTAATTCAATCCACAAACCATTGACTTGGCGCTTTATGATAATTGAAATAGTTCTCCTTTTCTTTTTATATTCTTTTCATAGGTTTAGACCAATGTTTCCCAACCTTTTCTTTATTATCAGCCCCCTAAGGAGCCTTCTGAGACATTTTTTCCTAATCTTACTTCCCCCATGAAATTTTCATGCTACATATACACTGTCTATCTGTTTATGTACTGTATCATAACCGTGCTTTATACATAAAAATAACAAGATTTTTTCAACCTCCCAATCATTTTCACCCCCTTGGGGGGCATAATTGCCCCCACTGAGAATGTATGATCTAACCCCTGCCTACCTCCAGAACCTCATCTCCTCCCACTCCCCTTCATTCTGTTCTTCAAACAAGCCAAGCTCATTCTTGCCTCGGGGTCTTTGCACGAGCTGCTCCCTCTGCACAGAACTCTGAGTGCTCCCTTGATCATCTCACAGTGACTCCCCCTTATATTCTCATTCTGTACATCATCTCCTCAAGGGAGACTTTCTTGGCCACCCAATCTAAACTCGCCCTCACATCACCCTGCTTTGATTCTGTGCATCATACTTACCACAGCTAATATATTACAATACAAACTCTATTGTCTGCTTGCCCCTATTGGAAATGAAAATCCTAAAAAATCAAGACCTCGCCTGATCCGGATGTTAACGCTAGCCTCTAGAATGGTTCTTGTCACATAGAAGGCACCCAATAAACATTTTTAATGGGTGAATATTTTGCTCTAATTGTCTGTAATAAACAAGGCTACCGTCGTGGGCCTGAGCCCCTCTAACTGACCTATGTTACTATTTTAGAACTTGTCAAAGATTGGCTGGAAAAAGGCCTTTTACCTTATTTGCATGGTCCCCTCTAGTTGGATGGAATCTTCAATCATTTGCATGAACTGTTTATATGCTCTATGAATATCTGTGCTTTCTACATAGAAAGAGTAAGATTTTTTTTGCCCCTTTCCCCAAGAATTATCTTCACCCCCTTGGGAGGTGACATTGCCCATTGAAAATGCAGCAAGACATGCTCGCCCTCCCTCACTCCCTTGTCTTCTACTGGTTGGTTCTCTCCAGACCCTGAGATTCCAGAAAGAGGAAGCCTCCAGAGGTCGGAACGTATATTGAGGCAGAGAGAGAGGCAGGCAGGAGAGAAGAGAATAAGGTGTTACCTTGAAGATAGGATGTATCGATGGAAGACACCTCATGGTGGCCACAGCAATGACCTCAGCCATCAAGTGTCCCCTCAGGAAATGAAACTGCAGCTGATGAAGCTGGAAATCAGAGCTACGGACCCAGCATTTGGCCAGGAGCCAGACCATTGGGGGATCCGTAGGCAGGAAAAGTGGAGGTGGGGGGGATCCCACACTTGGAAGTTGGAGCTGGAGCAAGGACAAGAGGGAGAAGAGGAGAGAGGAGATGAGTGCCAGGTGCCCAGTGATTCCCCTCCCTGCCGTGTATAACCTCTGCCTTTGTCCTTCAGATCTGCTTAGCTTTCTCCATCTTGCTGCTGCTCTCCCCTACAGCTACCAGTCCTTCCCCTCCTTTTCCTACAGGTGCATTAACACTAGCAAGCTGCTCCGCCCTCAGCCTTCTGCAAAAACTGCTCTTCCACTACCTTCTCCAGCCGCTCTTCACCTCTCAGCCCTCTCAGTGTAGACAAGATTCAAACCCCCTGCTTCCCTCACCCCACACTCTTTCCGAAATCTCAGCCACTCTCCAATCTTTCAACACGACCTCTACACAGAAGACTAAGTCTCCAGTTCTCAGCTGCCTGCTAGACAATTTGAATGTCTCCCCATTACCTCAATATTTTCAAGACAAAAGCCCATCCAGACATCTTTCCCTCTTTATTTGCCCTATTTCTGCAGGTGCCTGGCCTGACTCCCCCTTTTTCTCTCTCCTTGAATCTCTCTGCACTCCCACCCACTTTTCCCCTCCATCCCTACAGCCACTACACATTTCAGCCCATCACTTCCACCTTGGGCAATCACTGTAACAGGTCACCCTAATCCCTGTATCTAGGGTCTCCCTTCTCCAATCCATCCTAAACACAATTGCCTGTATACTGTGTCCACAGCATTTTTCATAGCAGCTTTCACCAGCTTCCCTTATTCATCCTCCTTATTAGCTTGGCTTGATCTGGCCCCTCTCACCTCACATCACTTCCCAACACTCCAGTCTGACTGTCCACTAGGAATCTCCTGACCCCTCTATCTCAGCCTCTCTGCTTAGCCCATCTTGCCCTTTGGGACAGGTTTTTCCCCTCCTTCCTGTTTGTCTAAGTCCTGACCCTCTCCAAGGCTCATGACCACCCCGCCTCCAGTGATCCTTCCTTCCCAGACTGTCTCTGTCCTCAGGGACTTCATCAGTACTGGAGCTTACTCAGACTTACCCAGTCTGTCTCTCCAGCCTGACTGAAAACCCTTTAAAATCAAAGATTGTCTATTTCCTACATTAATGTCTCCCCCAATGCCTTATCACAATGCTTTGGCAGAGAATGGGTACTAAGTGAATTTGGACGAGGGGCTGAGCTGAGAAGGCCAACCCCTGGGGAGCAGAAATTCTCAGTCCTCTCACCTGGATGACCATGGGCAAGAGTTTCCCATCAGGCTGCAGTTTCAGCATGACCAAAGGGGCAGCCAGGTGCTGCTGGCTACACAGGATGACATTGGCCTGGATCCCATCCAGCAGGGAGTAGTCAGCTTCAAACAGCGTGCCTCCCTGGATGAGGGGATATGGCAAGGGCTGCTATCAACATAAGGCATCTTCTTCCCACCTTGATTCCCCAAAGGGAGAAGGGAGCTAACTTGTCTCCATCACTTACTTTGTACCAGGTAGTGGATCACATGCTGATTACTTCATATAATTCTTATATGTACTTGAATTAACCCAGTTTTACAGAAGAGGAAACAGATGATTAGAGAGGTTGGGTATCTTGCCTGAGGTCACACAGCTTACAAACAGCAGAGCCAGGATTCAAATCCAAGTCTGTCTGACCCTATAATCCCATGAATTTTCTCTATCAATTGTTTCACATTGACTCCTAATTAACAATCACACCCCCAACCCTGATTCTCTTACTCTGCACCCCCGCTGAGTCCCTAGCACCAAGGCCCAGTTACATTGCTTCAAGTTGACTCTGTCTCTTTCAACCTTGTACGCCCTCCCTCCACAGCACACTATTCTCATGTGAGTAGGAAGGCCATGCAGGTGTACTTCTCCAGGATCGCTGAGGATTTCTCCTGCAGAATCACTTCCTGTGAATGGCAGCAAGCCAGTCCCACAGTGGACCCTGCAGCAATACAGATGATGCTGACCCCACCTCCATTTCACTGCTCTGCCTCCTTAGGGTTCTGATGTCCATACCTTGAGCTCCTTCTCCAGCTGGGCCTGCAGTTCCTCCATCCCTGGAGGGAACACTAGGCGGGCAGGAAGGTGAACGGAGCGCCTCAGCAGCATGGGGTTGGCACCATTGAGAAACTGGTATCCAAATAAGGCATCCTCCTTCCAGGAGTCCTGCACCCGCTCTGGGGAAGGCAGTTGAGCATGCTATGGGATCTGAGCTCAGGTCCATCCAACCTCCACCAAACCATCCCCACTTGACCCCAGCCTACCAGAGAGACCCCAGCCTCTGGTCTCCTAACCCTGTTTCTTTCAATTCCCCTGGATTGGGTGGGATCAGGGGGTAAGAGTCCTGGGAGAAGTATTGGGGAGGAGGCAGAGGCCACTGACCAGCCAGCTTGCTCTGGCCACACCAGAAAATCCGGTTGAAGTCATCCAGATCATTCCAATAAGTCAGAATATTTGAAACGTCTTTGAGAGCGAGATCTGCCAGCCTTCATGGAAGGACGGGGCAAAGAGTTTGAGAGTTATTCTTAGAACCAAACATTACAACCACAGGCACCTACCTTGGGCTGGTGCAACCCATGAGCCCATTGTCCTCCACTAGACCAGGACAGCCCCCCCTCACCCAGCCCCCCTTGCTCTCACCCTTTAGCCAGTGAAGCCTCAAACTCAATTCTCTTGTCCTCCAGAAATCGCTCATCTACAGGGAGGTCATTTATTTTGGCCACAACCACATTCCGGATTAACCCCTCCTTCCAGTTACCCCACCTGTGGGGTAGAAATGAAATCAGACATTGGAACTGCAGAGGGTCAGCAGCTCACTGTGGGGTCGGGGAGTAGGGCTAACCGGTACAGCTTCCTTCTCTTTTCCAGCTCCTCTTCCCTGTGTTTCTTGAACAGACCTTGAGGGTCGTCCACCACTGTGCGGCCTAGAAGTGCAGAAGAAAGCAAGGGCAATGACTTTTCCTAACAGCCTCTCTCCTGTCCCTGCCCAGAGTGTCTCCTCAGCCTGTTCTTCTGGCTTGTCGCTTCCCCCAGCCTCCATGCCACTCTGTGTCAGCTCCAACAACCTACCTCTTCCACAACCCCCAAAGACGCCTGCCCTCCAGGTTCCAGCCCCCACGCCCTGCACGCTCTTCACACACACACACGACCCCCAGAGAAGGCCTCCTCACCCGCAGCCCCACGCTTACCAGTGCCCTCCGGTACGCTCAGGACGCCGTCGCCCTCCACCCAGCGGTAACAAGGGAACCTGAACTCGTCCCCACTGGCCCCGGGGCCCTGCACGGAGATCCAGTTGCAGAACCAGGCGTCATCCTGAAGGAGGTGCCGTTTGCGCAGTTTCACGAACAGCAGAGGCCCCAGGTACTCCGGCACGTCCTGCTTGAATTCCGCCTCCTGTGGGCGATAGAAGAAGCTGAGCATCCGTGGGACTGAGCCCTGCTCCCCCGGACGCCCTTCCGCTGGGCCTCTGGGAGAGCAGCCCGAAGGGGGCCAAGAAGAGAAAGGGAGAGCTCACAGGGCAGGTGCCCCCCGACCCAATTCTGTGTCGTCAAGTGAGTGGGTGGGGAAGGGGAGAAGAAAGGCGCACTGTTTGATTCACTGTTTCCTCCCTATAGTCATTGGCTGTGCCAAGCTCTGGGCCGGGCACTGGGAACCCCGCGCACAGTTGAGCCGGGAAACGCGCTGTTGACCAGGCAGTTACAGCTGGGAGACCCCGCCGAGGCCGACAGGGGCCCCACGCGGCCTTCCCGGAGGACTTTCCGTCGGGGCGGAGACACGGAGGTGGAGATGACTCAGCAGGGAGAGTGAGAGGGACGGAAAGGTAGGGGACAGGCGTGCCAAGCAGAGGAAACGGAGAGAGCAGCGGCGAAGGGAGGGCGGGCCGCGTCCTGCAGCGGGAGCGCAGGGCGCCCGGTGTGAGCGGCTCGAAGGCTAAGCCAAGGGTTTTGGATTTGGTCCCGAGAACAAGCGGGAACCGTTCAAGTGTCTTAAGCAGAAGGAACGTTTTAAGGGTGGGCCTGTACCGGGGAGAAATCGATCTTGCTACAGAAGGGTTTGGAAGGTTTGGAGCAGAGGCGGCGCGGCTGGTTAAGAGGGCGAAGGTGACGCCGATTCGTGGGGACATTGGTGACCGGGTGGGGTGGACATCAGGACATGGATGTGGGAGCCGTGCAGGAGTTAGAACTGACTGCGCTCGATTCCTGGTTAGACCGAGGCGAAGAGAGGAAGGAGGCGCGAGTGCCACCTGGGAGAGACAGCAGGAGGGGCCTGGGAGGTGAGAGGAGGGAAGGCCGTCACCTGGGCATGCTCCGTGGAAGGGTCCGTGGGACGGACACATGGATCCGGGGTTCTGGGAAAGAGCGGAACAGGCGGGGATATTCGGGGGTGGGCGGAGGAAGGAAAGTAACAGGACCGGGTGGATGTGAGCGGAGAGGGGGTGGGTCGGGAAGCGAAGACTGTTCTCGTGTCTTGGCTTCTTCCTTCCACCTCCCCCCACCTCGTGTCAATACCCACCCCCTGAAGTGATAAAGCCCGCAAGGTCGCACACCCAGACTCGGTAGCGGCTAGAAATAGCATCTTTCAAAAACAGAGGCAACAGGACAGACAGGCGCTCGGGTGACCTCTGAGTTTCGAGACGAGAGAGCTCCGAGGAATGAGCGGCGTGCAGGAGTGTCCCGTCCACTCCGGGGAGGCCGGCGGCGGGGACTTTACCGGGCTCTTAGTCTGCCGCCCACCGCCCCAGGAGTGGGGACCCGGTCGGCATTCGACGGATTTGTGGCCGGAGGCGCAGCCCAGCCCGCCCGGCTCCGGACATCTCACCGTGCCCCGCGCGGGCCACAGACGTGTGCTGAGCGCCGCCTCCCCGCGCTGTCCCACCAGCCACAGCTGCACCTGGTTGTTGGAGCCCGCGAAGAGCGAGGCCCCGGTGGACACGCGGACGCGGTAGGTACCCATCTCGCCCAAAGACGTTTCGCGCCTTCTGAGGTGGAAGAAGGGTGGACGCACCAAATAACAGAACCCGAGGCCCCGCCCTCTTGGAGGTCTTCCCTGGGGTCTGGGCGTGGGCGGCAGGCCTCGCGCTGGGGCCCCCAGTTCTACGCAACCCAGAGCTCAGCGCCAGCCAAAACGGCGGAGCCCTGGTGGGGGCAGGGCGTGCAAGCCATTATCTTGGCGGGGGTAGCGGGCAGCAGATGAAGATTTAGGCAGAAAAGATGAAGGAAGAAGCAATCAACGCCTAGACCAACAGGCAGACAGGGTGGGGTGGGGGTGGGGGTGTGGGTGGGACTCACTCTGGGGCCAAACAACGGTTGAGAAGCTTCCCTCCACCTACACACTTACGCACACACTGGCCTCACAAGTTGTCTTACCCCTGCCTAAGCCATCCTTAAGGTTGCAGGGGAGGGCGAAGTGGGCGAGAAGACTTGGTACATTCGTGCCACCGAATTAATTCGACCATCTTTGCACACCTGCCCTCCCTGTGCCAGGCTCTGGGACTCGTTCCTTTCGACCTTAAAAGCCTCTGGCGTCCCTGTTGCCTGCGGAATAAAAATCCAAGCGTCTTGCTATTCAAAGCCCTTGCTGACCTGACCTGCTCTTCTTCCACCTCATGCCTCTGCACCCCAGCCTCATCTCCTGCGCCTCCACTTTGGACTGGAGCCCTCCCCAGAACCCACCATGCTGTCCACCCGAAGAGTTCGCTCCTTGAAAAATTCTATGCACCCTTCTAAACCCTGATTAGACTCCAGCTTTTCCGTGAAGTCTTCCCTGGTAATTCCACCTCTCCCATCCCACCGGAAGCAATCAGCTTTCCTCTCCACTATTGCACTTTCCTCTTTGTGCATACTTCTATTATTGCACCCTTAATACTGCATTGTGATCCTTTGTTTGTCTGTCTGTATCCCCCACTACTGTGAGCTCTTCGTAAGCAAGGGCATTTCCAGCACAACTCGCTCACTTTTGTTTCCCCTGGATTGTGGACACTGTCAGTTCTTGTGGGTGTCAATCAGTGCTTGCTGAAACACACTAAGCTGAAAAATCGATGATAAAATCCTTCCCTCGGGGAGAAGAAGGTAAACAAATAACTATCAGACAATAAAAATAACAAGGGAATGTAAAATAAACTCAGGCGCCACCATGGCATTGAGTACTATGAGCCTAGTAAAACCAATGAAGTCAGTAGAAATATGTTTGTTATGCATATTTTCTGGTTTGTTTATGTTTTTAACGGGAAGTACATTCACGTGACTCAAAATTCAGAGGTACAACAAGGTATTCACTAGTTCCTCCCTCTTGGACCCAAGCCACCCGTTTCCTCCAACCCCAGCAATCACTGTTACCTTATGTAACAAGAGACACTATTACTGTGTCTCTTATGTACACATTCCCAAGCAAACACATCTTTTTATCCTTCTCCTGTACATGGTAACAAGTTCTGCACCTTGTTTTTTCCATATTGCAACATAAATCAAGAGATCATTCCGTATCAGTACATAAAGACCTTCCTTATTCTTTGTTAATGTTGCCATTGTTTTGCTGTAACACAATATACTCTGCCAGTTCCAGTTCCTTATAAGTGGCCATTTAGGTTGTTAGCAATCTTTTGTAACTATGAACAAATTTTTGTTGAAATGAATAAACCCAGTGTATACATCGTTTCTCATCTATAAGTGTATCTGTTGTACAAAATCCTACAGATGGAATTTCTGGGCCAAAACCATGTGTAATTCTGGCAGAAATTACTCAATTGCCCTCCAGAGAAAGTTGTACCAATTTATACTCCCATCAGTGGACTATGTGTAAGAATGTTCTCCCTCACTCTTATCAATGGAGTGTTAATAACCTTTTACCTTAGCCAATCTGATCGGTAAAAATGGTACTATAGTTTTAATTTTAATTTGCACTTATCTTATGAGTAAGGTTAAGTATCTTTTCATATTGAAGGAGCTATTTGTATGGCCAAGCAAAGACATTGCTGAATGCTGTGCTGCATAATGTGTGTATTAGTCCATTTCTGTCACTTATGAGAAAACACACGGAACTGGGTAATTTGTAAGAAAATGAAATTTATTGCTTACAGTTTCAGAGGCTGGGAAGTCCAAAGTCCAGGGAACACATCTGGTGACAGTCTTCTTTAGTGGTGACTTTACAGCAGTGCAGGGGTCTCACGTGGCAGAAAATGACAGAGCAGGGCCGGCCCGGTGGCGCACTCGGTAGAGTGCAGTGCTTGGGAGTGCGGCGGCGCTCCCGCCGAGGGTTCGGATCCCATATAGAGACCGGTCCGCTCACTGGTTGAGCGCGGTGCGAGCGCGACACCAGGGGTTGCGATCCCGTTGCCGGTCGTGGTACGTGCGCGACACCGAGGGTTGCGATCCCGTTACCAGTCACAAAAAAAGACAAAAAGGAAAAAAAAATGATGGAGCAGAAAGAGACTCACATGCGCTCCTTTTTAAGCCCTCAGAACCATGCCCATGACTGCCATTGCACCATCAAATAGATTAATCCATTCACTATGGCATGGGCTTCACAATCTAATCATCCCTTCAAAGCCCCACCTTTCAACTACCACAATAGGATTTCCCAACCTCAACAGTTACAGTGGGGATGAAGCTTTAATGACTTTGGGTGGGGGCCATTCAATCCATTGCAATGTGGTTCTTCCGATAAATCTCTGGACCTTCCATAAAAGTTATGAAATGCTTGATGTGATGTGATTTTAAGTAACTGAATTTTGCATCTAAGTTTACACAGGGGCTATCAGAGACATCATGTTGGGATCTGAGATTAGAGGCAAGAGATACACTAAGGCCATAAATCTCAAGGATTCCACAGAAATCTGGGGGAACATTTTCAATTTCTCTAAGCCATGAAAATTTGTGGGGTGGGTAGGAAATTTCCCCTAGAATGCAAGGGACAGGGATACCCCTAATTGACCATTATGCTATAGTTTGAGGTCCCACCCAGGACAGTTTCGACTAAGGTGGTATAGCCAGCTACATGTTAATCCTGAGCTAGTAGTGTACTCTCCCCACTACTGCCACATCTTGGCCAATTAATGCCAGGGTATTGATGCTAATCCCACACAAGCCTCTATGGTCCTAGGAAGTCTATTTCAAAGACAAAGGGAAGTTGTGTAACTACATTACAATCAGCCTTAGAGCCTTCAGGGAATGAATGGATGCACAATCTTAAACTGGACATTTTGACAACCAGTGAGCAATAAGTAATCTATGTATGCATCATTACATGAACTTAGTAGAGCCACTGAGCCTAAGAAATTCCCTGGTGAAATAACTGGTGGCAGAAGACCTCACTTCTGATGTTTACCAGCCTCAATAGACATTCCATTTCTCAAGAGAACAGAATCTTTCAGGAAGCAAATATGATATGCTTGAAATTGATAAGCCTCCACTCTGTTTCTTCTGCTAAGATAGGATTCCCTGGAGGCTGACTCAAGTGCATGATGCAGGCATTGGAACCTCTGGTTTAAGGCTACTGCTACTAGAGATGTTCTCAGGGAGTGCAGAACTGGAACTGAACAAGAGGGTTTGGGATTGTGGTCGGAATGTACCACAAATGTAAGCCTGAAGGAAAGAAGCAAAAGATTAATGGGAATTTTACAGGGGCCAGTGTCAGAAATCATAAGTGACCTCCAAAGCTGTCCATGCCTCCAACTCTGCAATTGCACAACAATTCTCAAAAGGTATTCAGTGATGACTCTTCAGGATTTGGACATCAGATTTTGGATGAACATATTCCCACAAGCAGGAGAGATTACTCTGCCTATGTGGGTTAAGGCTGCAGGAGTCTTAGGATGAACAAAACTACCAGATGCTGTGGAATGCGGTTTGGAAAACTAGGATTAGTTAGAGCAAGATAGTAATGTGAGAGCTTAACTGGAAAAACTCAGACTTCAAAATAACTTGCGGGCTTCTTGAATTCGCATGAGAGGAAGAGGACATCTACTACTTTAGGAAATAGACTAAAACAGAACAGGGTTGGTCCTGGAGGAACCACTTCAAATTTCCCAGCTGAAATTGATATAGATCTGGCTCAGTCTCTGAGGGCAAATTCTCAACAATCAAGATCTCAGGGGGAAAAGATGAATGGGTCTCCTACTTCTGGTAGAAGGTTCCCAAGAACAAGTGTTGGCATGGAGAAGCAGGCTCAAGAAGGCTGTCGGCATGGAGAAGGGCAGCCTATGTGATTGGTTAGGGTGCAAATTTCGCGCTCTCTGATTCTAAGTGGAAGTGGAGACAAAAATTAGGAAATCTGGCCATTATTGACCAAGTCCTGACCATTTGGGGCCAATTGCTACAGACGTTGTGGCTTGACTTCCTGGACTGGTTGCTGCAGAGGTTGTGGGACAGAGTTCCTTTTTCATACATGATTCTGGCCATTGGCCTTTCGTAATATTGTCTCTCACTAGCAATGTACAGGAGTTCCAGCTGCTTTGCTTCCTCACTAATACTTGGTATTGTCAGCTTGTGGAAGAGAGGGGTAGTTTGGGATGGGGGAGATTCTAATAGGTGATATGCCATTGTGGTTTTAGTTTAAGTTTTGCTAAGAACTAATTATTCTGAGCATATTTTCATGTGCTTATTTGACATTTGTATATCTAATTTGGAGAAGTATCTATTCAAACTTCTGCCCGTTTTTTAATGTCTGTTTTCTCATTTTGAGAGTTCTCTACATAGTTTAGATATAAGTCCTTTGCAAATATTTTCTCTCAATAAGCAAGGTTTCAGAAGATGTCTTTTCATCCCCCAGCAGTGTCTTTAACACAGCAGAAGTTTTTAATTATGATGAAGTACAATTCATCAAATGTTTTATGGATTATGCTTTGCCTAAACAAAGGTCATAAAGATTCTCTCCTATGTTTTCTTCTAGAAGATTCATTATTTCACGTTTTATATTTAGGTCTGTGACTCATTCTGATTTAATTTTTGTATGATGTGCAAAGAATGGGTCAAGTTCCTTTTCTTGCATATGGATATTCATATGCAAACAATGTTATAGCACCAATTCTTTTTTTTTTTTTCCTTTTTGTCTTTTTTACTGACCGGCAACGGGATCGCAACCCTCGGTGCTGCGCCTGCACCGCGCTCAGCCAGTGAGCAGGAACCGGTCTCCACATGGGATCCGAACCCTCGGTGGGAGCGCCGCTGCGCTCCCAAGCGGCGCACTCTCCAGTGCGCCACCGGGCCGGCCCATTATAGCACCAATTCTTTTTTTTTTTTTCCTTTTTGTCTTTTTTACTGACCGGCAACGGGATCGCAACCCTCGGTGCTGCGCCTGCACCGCGCTCAGCCAGTGAGCAGGAACCGGTCTCCACATGGGATCCGAACCCTCGGTGGGAGCGCCGCTGCGCTCCCAAGCGGCGCACTCTCCAGTGCGCCACCGGGCCGGCCCATTATAGCACCAATTCTTAAAAAGACCATCTTTCCTCCATTGAATTGCCCTAGCATCTTTGTCAAAAATCGGTGTCTATTTTTGGTCTATCTATTTTTCCATGACCTATGTGTTTATGATTCAGCAAATACCACTCTGACTTTATTACTATAGCTTTATAAGTTTTGAAATCAGGTAGTATGAGTCTTGTAACTTTGTTCATTACTAAAACTGTTTTAGCTATCCTATTTCCTTAGGCTTTTCCTATAAATTTTAGAATCAGCTCATTGGTATTGACAAAATTATTAACGAAAATCCCTGTTGGGTTTTTAAAATTGGGATTGCATGAATCTATAGAGATATATGAGGAGCATTAACATTTAACAGTACTGAGTCTTCCAATCCACGGACAAGGTATATCTCTCCATTTACTTGGTCTACTTTGACTTTTCTCATTAGTATTTTATCATTTCCAGCATACAGATCATGTATATATTTTATTTTGTTAGATGTCATCCCACTGTCTGCTGGCTTCTTTGCTTCTAACGAGAAATCCAGTCATTCAAATGGTTGTTCTTCTGTATGTAAGGTGTTGTTTTCCTCTACTATATGTAATGTGACTACTTTAAACAGAAGAGGTTGGTTGTTTTTTTTTTTAATCTTTGGCTTGCAATAATTTGCTTGTTGTCTAGGCATGGTTCATCCTGTTTGGGGTTTTCTGGGCTTTTTGAATGTATGAGTTTATGTCTGTCACTAAATTTGGGGAATTTTCATTTACTATTTCTTCAAATATATTTTCTGCACCAAGTGTTTTCCCTTTTCTTTCTTTTTTTTTTTTTTTTAAAGATGACTGGCAATGAGATCCCAACCCTTGACTTGCCGTTGTCAGCACCACACTCTCCCAAGTGAGCAAACCGGCCATCCCT